ATATATATATATATATATATATATAAATGGAGTGGATTACTGAAAATTGAAAAAATACTTCTGAAAGTATTTGCAGTTCTCTGCTCGCAGTCTTACTGCAAAATCTCACTTCACATGGATGTGAGCTCCTGCGCGGGAGGGCAGGCAGAATGCAGCCCAGACAGCAGCGCTGTGCCCAGTACGAGCTCAGGCCTGGCACCAGCTTCAGGGCAGTGTTCTCAGAATGCACATGCACGATTGCCTCTGTAGAAAAGTGACTGGGCATTACGGTTGAGCACACCAGCGACCTGCTGAGTGTCCAGCTGAACACATAGGTGTGCAGCTGAGTGGGCCAGTTCAATCAAATTTTAACGTGAGTTTTTTCCCCAGTCAGTCTCTAGATGTGTTTGTGGTTACAGTAACAGTGTACAGAAATAAAAAGTAGAGCTGTGCCTCCATTTCATGTGCTGTTTGCGGGTCTGATCCTTGAGATGCCTGTCCCAAGCTCAATATTTAAAATAGACTAGGATATGGATGCTTAAAAGTACACTGTCTAGATACTGTAAAAGTCACGTTGCTACTATTTGTGAAGTGCTTTGACAATAACTGCACTGATGAAACGTGCCTGCCCTTCTCAGTAACTGCTCAAGGGCTGCGAATGATAAAGGAAGGTGGAGCGAGAAGAGGGAAGGATTCCGATTCATCTCTTAGGCAGCAGAGAGCTGGATTTAGCTGTCGTTAGTCATTAGGGTCATTTCTCCCACCTCCCCCCAGTCATGCATTTGACAAGTCTTTCTGAACGTAAGTAGTGCCGAGGTTGTGTCGATGTAGCGCGTTGGAAATCCCGTGCTAACATCCACGGCGCACAGGAGTATCCGCATCTTTCTTTTTGCTTAACAGGAAGAATACGTGCAAGAAGGAATTCGATGGACACCAATAGATTACTTTAACAACAAAATAGTGTGTGACCTTATAGAGAACAAAGTGGTAAGTATTTAGAACAAACAGATGGAAACCCCAAGATTTTTCTCTAAAGTATTTGGGCAACTGCTGTCAAGAACGTTCGTAGGAAAAATGCAAATACTGTTGTTCAGTTACTGAGTCATACTCAGCCTATATATAAATCTTACATAAGATGTCTTATAGGAGCTGTAAGATATATGTCATCTGAGATATATGTTATCTAAGAGATCAGCCAAAAAGAGAACCGTAACAGCGTGATTGATGCGTGACTAAAAAATACAATGATGGAAATGAAAACTTTATCCACCTGAATTTGTCATTAACTTCGTGACATATTCTACTGTGCAACAGATAAGGCGCTCTGTGTCCCTGGGAGATGTTTTTCATTTTGGGGAAGCTACAATACTACCTTCCTTTGAGATACTTTGCAAGTGAGGCAGAGACAAGCAAAGAGGAGAAGTACGAGGGGGTGTTGTAGAGAAAAGAAATTTGATGTCATTGCCCCCCAGAACGTTCTGCAGTGTAAAGTCCTCATGTTCTGATCTGGGGCGACCACAAACGTTAAGTTGTCCTTTAGGACAGCAGTAGGTTGTTGTTCAGCTCGTTCTTTGTCCTCGTGTAAGCCAGATAATTTTAGCAGTAGTTCAAGTACTATAGTGACTGGTGCTTAAATGTACACCGGATTTCGTCCATCTCCTGTCTGTATCAGAAAAATGATGAAGAGGATAGGATTTCTGTCACAGCCTGAGATATTTAGCTCAAACTTTGTCAAACTACAGCGTGCGAGTTTAAATGCTTACTTCAGAGATGGGTTTATTTTTTGGTGGAATGAGAAAGAAGATTGCTTTGTGAAGGAATTAAGAATTAGAACAAGTGTTGGGTGTTTTGGGATTTTGTTCTTTTTCTATTTTTTTTAACAGCAATCCTTGTTTTCCCCATCATTTCCCCTGTCACTATCATTACACAAAGTGACATCTCCCCTTAAACTACTTCCATGCTTGTGTACAAATGATTCTCTGCTGTGAACTCTACTGAGTGGGGGAGAATTTTTCCTGCTGTGACTTTGCCCTAGTGCTTTTGTAGCAAAGATAATTTTCTGTTTTGGGGGCAAAACCTGGCATAATAATTCCCCCTCCCCCCCTCTCTTTTGCTATTTTTGTAATTCTTCTCCAATGCATTAGAATCCCCCAGGGATTATGAGCATTTTAGATGATGTGTGTGCCACAATGCATGCGGTGGGAGAAGGAGCTGACCAAACGCTGCTTCAGAAACTCCAGATGCAGATTGGGGCTCATGAACATTTCAACAGCTGGAACCAGGGATTTATCATTCATCATTATGCTGGAAAGGTAATGTGGGAAATCATCACTGCATTCTGCATCATGCGTTTATACAGTAAAAGAACAGCAAGGAGAGGAAAGGGGAAGCCCTGTGGAGGGCTGTTTGGGTTTTAAATAGCCAGGTTATCTCAGGAGACAGCATCCTCCTTTCGCAATGATGGGAGCTTAGAACAAACCCGCCCTAGCATGTATCCCTCACTTAGGAGAGATGAGTCTGGGCCTTGCTGCTGTCAAACATACAAACCAGAACTTAGTACTCAATATAATATAATAAATAAATGCCCCATGTCTTTTATTAATTATCTTAATTGTTGGTTATAGTAGCAGTAAATGTAAAGAATTCACATATAAAAATGATCCTTAGGTGATGCCATAGCAACAAAACTCAGAATATAATGTGCAGTTCTGTCTTCTTTGGGTATATGTCTCAAACCATTAATGATTTCCTGCAGTTATAGATAATAACAGTAAACCTTTATTATGCAAAAAATTTTCTTCAATAAAATTGAGTATTAAATTCACTTGTGTCATACTCTGGTCACTAGCTCCGTAACAGTCTTTTTCACTGAATTTAAATGTATGGATGAAATCCCTTTCTGTTTGTTGCGGAAGAGTTAACTAATAATTTATGCGAGGATTTAGGGATCATTGTAGTATCTTCTAAGGTATACCAGACTAACCAAAAAGTTCAGAACAGCTACTGATGAGGACAGATTTTAAATTTTCTTTAATTATTGGGTTCTCAACTTACCACAAACAATCAATTTCCACCTTGGCCCAGGTATCTTATGATATGGATGGATTCTGCGAGAGAAATCGGGATGTTCTTTTCATGGACTTGATTGAACTCATGCAGAGCAGTGATTTGTACGTAAGCAAAACTTGCTTAAAGCTAGGAATGACGTGTTAGTTCAGATGGATGCCGAGGGCCTGACTTCTCTACTTCGCAACTTGCGAACTCGTTTGTGTAAAAGCGGAAATGGAACATCACTGCAGTAGAACAGTATCACTTGCATTATTGTATTGACCTTAATTTTCTGCAAATCTGAATAAGTAAGGTACTGCAGTGTCAGAATCAAATGTATAATGACAGCCATTTGGTCTGGCCTCAGACAAGGCCATCAGTGATTTGGCATTCCCCCAGAATAGGCACTGTTTTAACATATAAAGTAACATCTTTCTCTTATGTATTTTAATTAATTTTAATTTTTAAGAAGTGTGCTTTTCTTCGAGTCTAGAAGTCTGGTATCATGTCTTCCAAGACTCACTGAAATAGCAAGGGAACTCTGTGAGGAATTAAGCTCATGGAAAATACTAATCTTAAAATAGATTTGATATAACTCCAGATTAATAGAAATAGCTATTTATATTCTGCTCAACTATCAACTTTTACAGCATATTCCTTGATGTTCCTGCATTGAATTGCCTCTTTGTGCCAACACCGTTTTATTCATTCTTTCCTAGGCCTTTTATAAAGGCTCTGTTTCCTGAAAATCTTCAAGGGGACAAGAAGGGCCGTCCTACCACTGCAGGCAGTAAAATCAAAGTATGTCCAGTTTCGCTCCGTTAGCGGGTGCACGTATGGGTGTGTGTTTGTGTGTGACACCTAAATAAAGAGAAAAGTAGCCTTTGCTGGTTTTTACTGTCCAGACATTTTTCAGGGTAGACAGCAGGAGTATCTTGATTGCAAAGTGATGCATTGTTTCAGCTGGTTAGAGTCATGTTTTGCCCAGCATCACTGGTCATTACACGTTTTGTTCAGCTGCTCTCTACGGCAGTGACTTTTCCTAACGAGCAATTGATGGTGGTGATAATAGTGCTTGCATGTGCATAATGAATGAGCCCCTTCACTCAGCCACTTCATGTCCTACAATGAACTACAGATAACTGGTCTCTTTATAGTGCAGAAATGCAGCGGGGCCTGATCCATCACCCGCTGAAGGCAACAGAAGTCTTTCTGCTGACAATAATGTGCCTTGAATAAGGCAGCCAGTGTTAGAAGGCGAGCTGCTTTTTGGAGGCTGCTTGTAAAACGTACGCTTAGATTGCGCACTTGCAGACTTTGGAAATCAATATTTCGTTAACCTCTTTCCTCATATTTCACCCTGACAGTCAAGTTCACCTGACGCATTCCTTGTCACGCCGTATTTTTATATAACGGTTTAAATGCGTTACATAGCTGGAGATAACGGTGCCTTCTGCTTTTCACGAGGCACATATCCCAGGACACTTTGGTTGTTCTGGAGAAAGACCAAAGTCAACTGGATCCAGTCAACAGAATCATCATCAGATGCTTGATAATTTTTGGAATTCTTGTGCAGAATTTGCCCTGTTCAGCTCAGGTCCTATTGTTTTCCCTCAATTTTACAGAAACAAGCAAATGACCTCGTTGGCACCCTGATGAAGTGTACACCCCATTACATCCGCTGCATCAAACCAAATGAAACAAAGAAGTCTCGAGACTGGGAGGAGAGCAGGTATGGATAAGCAGAGCATGTGATGAGAAACAGTGCTAATAGTCAAAAAAGCCACAAAAATTCATAATTTGTAATCACTCAGCCTACAGAAACAGAACTAGATACTCTAAAACCTTCAGAAATGAAAACTGGCTTGACCTCTCCTCAACTTTGAAGATAAGCTGTGGTCCCGTGGTCTAGATCAGCAGTTGGTATACGCAGTTCTTAGCTCTTCTCATATCTGTTACAAATAATCTGTACAAGTAATCTGCAGACTTTGCATAACAGTAGCACAATGGGTGTTATTAAAGACTGGGGTTTGCGTGTAGAATTTGCACACAAAATGCATTATACGTCAATTCTAACTTGGCTTTGTGCTTTGAGAACAGCTTCTGTTTGGTAGCTAAAAAGCCAGCAGGATGCCTGTATCTGCATTTGTATATCGAACTTACCAAAAGGTCTCTATAGCCACGAATGCAGACGGCTCCTTTTTTACTACTTGACTTTTAAGTTTCAGTAGCCAGCTCTTTAAAGAGAAGTCACTAGACTGTCATATTGGGTGGTTATATAGACATTAAATAGGTGTCTAAATCACCAGTTTGGTTTATTGCGTCTGTTTTAAGGCATCTTTATGGGATGCTTTGTAGCATCTTTCTAGTATCTGAGAAAAGATACTCTGCTTTTGTTGCACCGAGGTAGCTGATCTGTACGGTACCTATACTATGCGACATCCTAACATAGATAACATGTATTGCTGTACCAAGTACTGCTGGTATTGGTGAAAGTGCTGATGAAGCCAGTGGTTATTTTTATCCCAGTGAAACAACTTGCAAAGTCTGACAAAAAGCCTTCTTGCCCATCCCACCACCCCAGCAGCCCTCCCTTGCTGCCGTTTGGCAGGCAGACTGGCACGATTGCATGCAGCTGTAGAGCACTTACAGCAGCCACAGTTGGGCCTGCACTTGAAAGTGTCACTTAGGTCTTGGCAGGAAGCGTAGACCCTCTTTCTCGAGCTTTTCCACCCCTGAAAATCCTACTGTGCAGCACTTCATTTTACACCGACGCTGTGGACCAAAGGAGGAAAGTAAGCGATTGTGGGAAAAGGATGCCTAAAACTTTTGAAGATAAGCCGAGGGCCTTTTAACATCAATCATTTACATACTGGAAAACAGCCCTGTTATTGTGGAAGGTGTTGCTAGGAAACCACTGAGACAAACAAACAAAAACCTAGTCCTGAGAAAAGGCCAGCTTGCAGGAAACCCCTTTTGGAGCAAAAACGAGCAAGATTTTTTCTCGTTTTCCCATAGTGAGGATGATATTTGGCAAATGCAGCAGCTACTGATAACAAATGAAATACAAAGACTTGTATGCTGTCAGTCGGACACAAATGGAAGTAGTTCTTACAAAGGGGTTTTGAACAGGGGTGAAGGATTACCAAACATTCTCTCCCCTTTCAAACGATCATTTCCCATATATTATACTAGGACCTCATCCAGGGTACACGTGCTGTAAGTTAGTGACATGTCTGGGGAAAAGAAATTTATATGCCTATGACAACTCAAACTTAATTGTGTTGTTTCATCATTTGACTGTGAGAAAGTTCTGTGTTGAGGGAAGTAAAAAACATAACTGAACTTATGTGATGTTTTGCTGAATGTTGGTTTAGGGGGTTTTTTTGTTTGTTTTCTTCTGTGATCATACAGTGCTGTATCATACACCTGCTGCCGTAGTAGATCTAATCTGGTTAGTAGTAGCATATTACTAGATGGTGAAAATGTTGCTGAAAAAGGAGAAACCTTTACAAAGCCCGTCGTGCTTCATGCTCACAGAAGCCATGTCACTCCAGCTTTGTACTGCTGTTGAATAATTCTGGAATATTTAGCACTGAAACACAGAGCTTGTGTAATTTCTAAACCTTGCATAATACCTTAGTTATTCCAAAAATTGGGGTGTTCTTGAAATGTGTTTTTGTTCAGGTCCTGGCACAGCCACTTGGACTTGTATTCAAAATTGCTGCATTAGCTGAATTCCCAGACCCTGACCTGCTTGAGGTTGATGCCTGGAGGAGGATTTTCAGTGTGCCTTTTCTCAGAAAGAGAAGGAAAACCAGAAAATGTCTCAAATTCTCTGTGGCTGGACACTAATACTGGCAGGAGAGAAAGAAAATGGGAGTAATACCGTTGCTCCAGTGCATTATTCCAGATGTGAAGAGGAGGGAAAGCTATAAACAGGAAAAATGTATTTTTGTCCACCAACTTTCTACTGTACCAGAATTCTTGGAGTGCATACAAAATATACTTTATTCCTTGAACACAGCAAGATTAAAATATGCAGTATTATTTATTATAAGCTAAAAGAGCAGTATCACTTATCGTTTAGTAAAATCTCTCTAAGTGTTCTTTAAAAAGAAGAAATAACTGAAGGAATTTCAAGTTTTTTCCCTTTATATCAGGGAGTCATGTGAAAATGTCTCAACCAAAAAAAGGGGGAAAAAATCAATGGGCAATACACTTTATATTGAAATTTAACATTTAAAAATAGCTAAATAACACTGAATTAACTGAGAGTTTTCTAGGATTTGAAAAATCTTTTGTAAAATTAGAGAAATAGTAAGCCAAACAAAATTAAATGGCTCCTTACAGGCTCACTTGTTTTTGATTGTATGTAAAGAAATGCTCTTTTATATACTGTTTGTTAAACTTGCAGGACTAAAATCTTAACAAAGCTCGTATTTCTGACTGAAAGCTAAAGCTTCTGTAATTTGCCCTATAAAAGAACAGCAACAGAAGCCCCTGAACACCCCATTTTGGAGTTAAAAAATGACATTGCGTCTTCCAGCCGTGTGACTTAGATGAGGAAATTAAGGAAGTGCAGGAGACCAGCAAGAGTCGTTTGTTGTTAAGGAAGCTGACTGCAGTCCCCCAGGTCAGCTCTCGGAGCGAGCGTTCGGTAGTAGGCTAGCAGGGCCTGTGAGAAGGACCATCAAATACAATGGACCCCAGCTCCAGAAAGAGGCAGAGGTGCCAAAAGGAAGCTTTTTTTCCTCTTGCTGTATTTATGCTTTGAGGTTCGTGGGCACATACTTGTTCCCTGTTTAGAACCTAAATGCACGTGTTTTGCGGAAGGGAACTGTCCTGGTGTTGGGATAATGATGTTCACGCGCGCAGCAGAGTCCCTCCACAGACACGAACACTCCCTGTGGGACTGGCGCCAGTTCAGCCTTGGTTTGTAATTAAAGGATGCCATGACCAAGCTTACCAGGCGCGCTTTGGCCAGCCTCGTGCCTATCCACAGATCCTTCCCTTGCAGCGTGGTAAGATTAGGAGGAACGTTAGCTTTTCATGGATGTAGCAGCCTGGCTGCTTGCTGATTCTTTGGGTAAGGAACGTTTGGCATCTGGGGCTTTCCCCAGCCATCAGATTTGGTCCTTTCTCCAGAACAACTGAGAAAGAGCTACTGTGTGCTGCTGATGTTTGAGCTATGTAAAACATAGGTAAAACCTACCCTAACAAACACACAAAACAACTTCCCGCTCCCTTGGATACCAGCTATGTAATTGTATAGGTAATAGTTACTTGGCCTTTTACGGGCAATATATACATAAATTTATACATAAATTAGGAGATGGGAGGTTAAACTAGGAAAAAATGCTATGGTAAACCTGCTACACGTATTTCAGTCATGTAGTCCGCCTTCAATATTTTTCCTACCTTGCAGTGTGCATGGTGACATGCAAGAACAGATTAATGTCCTTGTGCATGAATTTTAGAAGTCAATAGTCTTTAAACGTGATACAGGCTTTTAAGAATACCTCAATCCACAAATATGCTGAAATAAAATGGATTGTAAATCTTGCATTGTTTCTGTCCACAGGGTAAAACATCAGGTGGAATACTTAGGTCTGAAAGAAAATATTCGAGTAAGAAGAGCTGGCTATGCCTACAGGCGGGTCTTCCAGAAGTTTTTGCAGAGGTAGGGTTATACTCATTTTTGAAGTATTACATCACAGTTGTTTATACGATGAGGAGGCAAACAAGAAGTTGGAAGTTTTGAAAGCTTCTCATTTCCCACTTACCCTTTCCTTTTTCCTCCGTTTACCTTGCTCACAATCTAGGTTACGCAGAGATTTGAAAGCGTCTCAAAGACTGGCTTTGTGTCTTTTCGTTTTTCTGTAAACTTGCCTGAGACCTCAGTTCTTTTTGTAGGCCTTGAGAGGGTTCCTCGAAGCTAAAAAAGGGTTAAGGGAACTTAGATTTAGGAGCTGCAGAGCCTGGAATCTTGAATGTCTAGCCGATAGCCTTTGTTTAACAGGTCACTGCTCTAACTCTCACAACTCTTCTTTCCCGATGACCAAAGGTAAGCAGAGACATACCTGCCTGCCGTTCAACCATTCCAGTGTAGAGAGTAACCTTCGCTTAAACCGCTCCTTGTAGCCTTCACTGGTGCTCAGACAGGTGGGGACGGGTACAACTCAAACCACCGTGTCACCCGAGATACAACTGAAGCTGCTCACTGAATGAAAGAAGTCAGGGCTCTGTAAGGCCAATCCTTTTTTCAGTGTCTTAGGACTAGCTGTTGAGGTGATTAACTACCTCCACTAGCTAATAAAATCCTCTTAAATAAAAGCAATTTCAAGATTTATACAACATTCAGCTTCTGTCTTTTAGAAAATGGAGACATACAGCTCATAAATGCCCAAACTGCAGCATTACCTGACAAATCAGCTTTTGTTGGAAGTCTCTGTGTTACATTTGAGAATACAAACCAAACACCCCAATCAGTTGTTGCAAGGAATGGAATATAGTTAATCAGCACAGAACGAAGCCGCTGATAATACTTCGTGATAATACAGAGAATGTTCTAATCATCTAGTAATAGACAGACCTAAAATATCTTAACATATGGACCCAGTTTTCATCATGGAACAATTTTAAGTCCCTTTTTCTTCACGCTCTTTAAGCACAGACATATATGTACATGAATATGCTTCAGGTTGCATTGCTTAACACAGAGTGTTGCTGCGCCAGAGTAACAGCTGAATAATGTGTATTAAATCCAACCTCCAGAGTTGTTGAACACTGGTGATGAGGGCTGTGCAGGTCTAGAAAACTGCTCGAGAGGTCTGCAGAAAGGAAAGCTACTTGGTACTTCTGGAAGGTGACTAGATTTCTGTACTTCTCTTCACATATAGAGATCCAAAGGCAACTGAAACCATTCTTTATGGAATTCATCCATTTGTTCCAAATGAGTCTTGTTCAGTTGAACATTTGGTTATGAGTAAAACTCTTCCTGCAACCTTTCCATTCACAGTTCCCTAGCATCCAGAACAAGCTCTGTTCTGGCACCCTGCGTCCATGTGAGTAGAAGTGGGCTGAGGCATGGGATGGACAGGAAATGCATGCTCGTACACTGGTTTTCATGGGGTGTTCGTTCCTTGGCAGCTCCACAGAAGTGGAGATTTCTGGGCTGAATAGACTTTTATGTACAAAGTTTACATTTGCATGCAAAAAGCCACGGTCCCTGAAAAGGCCTATGTGTTTCAAAGCATAACCAATCTGAAAGCTGAACTCCATGCTCCCCTATTTAGACATAGGACCCAACTGCTTACTGTGAATGTATAACAGATACATTTTGGGGCAGTCATGATCTGAAATTGTTTCAGAAGCCTTTTAAGAACACATTTCAGCACTTGTGCTGAAATCCTCTGCAAGATCAAATTACAAAAGCTTGAAAAACCTGGATGCATGGATGATACAATGGGAAGCATGCACAAGGACATTAGAGGAGAGTGCTATTTCTGAACAGCAGTGAACAACAACAGAATTGTCACATTGTAAGAGACATGCTTAATTGGTGCATGTTGTAGAATAATGTCTTTCTGCCCTGTAGATGTGTCACACCAGTAACGTGTATGAAGTTAATTTGAGTTTATGATAAAGGAGAATTTGAAATCTATTCTTATTTTGTACCCAAGAGCTTTAATTCTATTAAAAGGTCTTCAGTCATGTGTTTCCCTGTGCTCTTCTTACAGCTCATAAGATGTAGGAAAGAATTTGTAATGTGCTGAAATGCAGTGTCAGATTCTGTTGTGTGGAAGGCAGCATTTCAAATACCTTTATTAACATCAGCTTCTTTAAATTCAGACTAGGTTAGACCCACCTATACCACTATCCTGTTGGCAGTACATGATGAACCTGCAAAAAGGGCTGTTAAATAAATAAGCTGGGAGTTATTTTAACTTACATGATAGCATCATAGTAGGCCCTTTTGAATCCTACTGAATTATTCATAAGTTAGCTTTCTCTTTTCATGTACTTGCTATTCAGAGGTGTTTGGGTTTTGTGACACATTCCTTTTTAACTGCTTGCTATTTTTCTTTGCGTGGTATTGTTGTTTAAGTCGCATGACACTTTCTGCTTCCTGGCTAGAGAAAATTTTAGATATGACAAGACTGAGTAATGAATGTTCCCTTAATGAATTTTCTAACAATTCCTTTTGTTATTTTTGAGAACATTTTATTAGGAGCTGCCTAATCTTCTTAAGAAACAAGAACTTGGGAGTTGCAACAAACTGAACTCCGTACTTTAATCACTTTTTCCATTACTTTAACAGTTACTAATAAGCATGATTTAGCGTATATAACTGAAGTACACTTAAGGCATTAAAAATATTGCCAAGAGTAAAGAACATAAAAGATTTAGGGGCAAAATTTGTCACAAAATATTTAGCTGTTGTCCATTCTGATTGCCAAAGGAGTTGAAACAGCTGCTGCTAGAGAAATTGCTTGTCCGTAGACACACTTGAGCCAGTGAAAGCCCATCAGTGCTCCTTGGTGGGCAGTGGGACAAGGCAGCTCTGTAACTGCAGCCCGTCAGATCCAAAAGCCCAGGTTAAGCCTGAAACAGTGGACAGTGTAAAAGGACCTGGCACCCACCCATTCTCAAGGCTTACAGACAGTACCATGAGACAGAAGGCTACTTGCCTCTTCCTATCAAAGACAGGTTATTCCAGCACCTCATCCCTCCTTCCCTAGGCCTTTGTGTGGTCAGTTCCCCATGTTCCCATAGGTAGCACCAACATCACTGTCTCCTCCCTTTTGTACCAGAGGCCAAGCCAAAGGCTTTCTGGGATAAGGGCAAGAATGGCTCCTTGCTGTTGAACAGGTGGGTTGGGAGCATGAGCTGGCCACTTGCTTCGAAACAGAAGAGGCCTTTGTGAGAATGAGACAGAGAAGGCTTGAGTGGGGCATTAGTCATGTGCTTGGGAATGAATCTAGAATACCAAGGATGTAGTATTAAATCTGAACCCTGCGTTATTAATAGTAAATAACCTTGCCCTGGACTTCAGGAGATCACAGCAGAAATTTCTGTCATTAACTCCTGCAGTAATACCAAATAGTAACTTAGCATCTGGAAATGGGAGACTCCTGGACACTGTTGTCCTTCTCATTGCAGTTGTTTGATCTTGCTAAACAAGTAACATCTTAATACTG